TAAGATTGAACAAGTTCAGTCCATATGAGTTTGAATTTGTCATAGACCTTGTCTTATGATAATGGTTGGAAATGACAGATTCACATGGATAGGAACACATACACCATAAAATCTAAGTGACATAAGGTTTCTCTCCACTTCATGAAAATGACTGTGAGGAAACGCTTTCACTAAGTAGATTTTAAAGAGTTAGCAATAGTGATATTTGCATTCTCAAATTCGATTATGATTACGACATCCCTCTTCATAGTTCGAATGATGAGAAATGGCAAATAGTTTGAACATTCGGGACTTACTGCCGTAAGTTCTGAAATAGTTTGGACACGCATATGGGCTTTTTAATAAAAGGTGTATGAGCTTACATAAAGGATTATCGAAGCATCTTGTATCAGAAATTTAAAATTTGGTAAGAAAGTCAACATGTATTGATTTCTAGAAGTCCAACATATTTCTGGGTACATGTCAAATCTAGTGAGTTTTATGCAAATAAGAATGTAATTATTATGCTAGTGTGTAACATCCTGTTCCGAATCGATTCGTAGTCTGAGGTCGTGGCCCGAAGATCGGTCATCATAAGGATAAGGGCTTTTGAAGAGGTAAGATCTAGGCCCATTTGGGTGTGGGTGATGTATTAGAAGTGATCCGGGTGGTCGGTTCGTGTTCTGGAGCCTAGGAATATTTTGGTAAAGTGTCAGTTCGGGCTTTTGTGGAAAATGTATTTTTGTTCAGAAGGTTTTGATAAAGGTGTGACTTGATAGAAGTGTAGGGATTCTCGTTACCTTTCCATGGATATAAGGATCGTCGGAATTGAGTTTATAACGAAGAAGTTATGGCCTTCAGAAGTTTCATGGTTTTCAGGCTTAGCCGAGTACGCGGGCGTACACAAAGAGTACGTTGGGCGTACTAGTGAAGAAGGCAGTACGCGGGGCGTACCTTGAAGTACGCTGGGCGTACTGACCAGGGTGGTCGCGAAGGTTCTTCGAAGTACGTTGGGCGTACCATATGTACGTTGGGCATACACCAATCAGATCAGAACCCTATTTTAGGGTCTTGGACCCTATTTAAGCTCCTTATCTCATTACCTAACCCTAATACCTTCAGGCTCCACCCCTCTAAACCCTAGAAATCGTCATATATCATCCATGGTTGCATTTTTGAGCTTATTGAGTCCATTTTTTGGATGTTTGGCCCGTATTTAAGAAGATGGAGCTTGTTGCAAAGATAGGAATCAAGAAGGAGCTTATGGATCTGGCTTTGGGACTCATTCTCAGCTTGATAAAGGTAAAAAGCTTGGAACTTGATCACTCATCTCTTAGATCTACCATTTATGGGTTTTGGTTCCTTTTTGGTCCCAATGATAAAGCTTTATGGTTCAAATCTGATTCTTAGGCCTAGGGTTGCCACCCTTGATGCTATTTGAGTCCCTAAGACATAAAGTTTCCATCTTGAAGGTCTTAATGGGTTCATGCATGAGTTAGGGTCACTTTTATGGAAATAGAATGCCATTTTTGGAGCTTGGGTTTTTTTGGGGCATGCAAAGTCACCAAGTCAGTGACTTTATGGGTTTAGATGTTAAGTATAGCTCAGATCTATGATTTGGACTTGTTGGATCAAGTATTAAGCACTTAATGGATTTTGTGCATGAGCTGTTTGTACACTGGGCGTACTATGAAGTACGTTGCGCATACAGTCCATTTGCTCAGTACGCTAAGCGTACAGAAGAGGTACGTTGGGCGTACGCTCTCAGGAAGACTTGGGCCTTAGTGGACTTCAGACCTTTGGGCCCTAATGGTTTTGGGCCTGGATTTGCTGATTGTTGGGCTTGAATGTATCTTTGGGCCAATATTAGCAAAGTTGGGCCTATTGGATCTTGTGGCCCAATATAGAAATGGACTTCACATTTGTGGGCCTCGCTTTGGGCCAATTCTTGGACTAGGTTGTTGTGGGCCTTCGTGGGCCAATTGGGGACAAGGTTATGAACTAAGGAGAATATTGGGCTTTAGGATAAGGCCCATTAGAAAGGTCTGGGCCCAATTTGGACAATTAGGCCATTGATGGTTTTATGGACATTATTGTGTTGGGCTTTTGTTTTGGTTTGGGCCTTAGTTTTGGATCATACTGGGCCATGGGTAGAATGATAATTTTACCCCATGCATGGATTAAGGATTATGGTATGGGACCCAATTGCTAATTGGGTATATTGATTGGTATTGATAGCTCGGGAAGTGGACAGGGCAGCAGTTAAGGATTTCTTTCGGGAAGCTTCGGCATTCGAGGTGAGTCTCCTCACCTTACCAATAGGTCTAAGGCACCAAGGCCGGCCCATTATGCATTATGTGATATGCTAGTTGATTTCGTGTTATGTGTTATGCTAGTTGATTTCGTGGTATGTGATATGATAGTTGTCTTTGTGATGCTTTCATGGAAGACCTCGGGGGGTTCCCGCGACACTAGGGTGTAAGACCTTGGAGGGTTTCCATGGCATCCTTAGTCAAGACCATGTGAGGGTTTCCATGGCATTGGGCTAAGACGATGTGGGGGTTCCCATGGCACCCAGAGTAAGACCCTGGAGGGTTTCCAGGGCATCCTTATATGTATGGTTGGTATGACAGTGGGGTAAGACCATGTGGGGGTTCCTATGGCACCCGGAGGAAGACCCTGGAGGGTTTCTAGGGCATCCTTATATGTTTGTATGCATGGCTTGTGTGATTGATAAGGTTTATATAGTTGTTACGGCTGATACGGATTATGTGATTATGTGGATTGTGTGGGGTATGCTCTGGGGAACTCACTAAGCTTCGTGCTTACAGTTTTGTTTATGGTTTCAGGTATCTTTGTTTTGGAAAAGAAGGGCTCAGCTTGATCGCAGTGCACACACCCATGTTTTCTGCAATGAATGATTTTGGGATTAACTCTGATAAATGTTTTTAATTAACAATGTTTTGGAATGATTGGAATAAATGATATCTATGTTGGGTTATATTAAAAATGAAATTTTTACCCCTGATTTTTGGGTCGTTACAAGTTGGTATCAGAGTCTTGGTTTGAGGGATTCAGACATATTTTCGGGTGTGTCTGAACTCAAACAGAGGATCTGTAGAGTTTTTTGAGGAAAAATGTTTTCAAGGAAAAGTTTTCTAAGAAAAGAAAGGGTGTGGTGCAATTAGCCGTGCTCGAGTAAGTTTCCTAGAATACCCATATATGTTATCTGTTATGACCTGATGTATGGATCTGTGAATCGCATGCTAGTTAGGGCTAGGAGAGATGCCTTTATATGTTGTATGATCTGGTAAACTTGCAATGTAGTGTTGTGTAGGCAGCAACAAATTGGTCTGATATGTGATGCTTGTAGCCTTGGATATATTGAATGCCATGCTAGAATGGGAATTATTATTAGTACTAGTAACTGCTACGTGTATGCTTTTAAAATTATATACGGTTAGGATCTTATAGCCTTAGAATGATTGACTTGGCCTTATTTCCTGTTCCTTGTCTGGTTGTGGTCCTAGGGTAGCGTCTATTATTCAACAGTCTATTAGATCCTGTGTAGTGTATAATTTGCATGCATAAGGCAGCCGACAGCTAGGGTGGATGTGGACAACATGGGTTGTGGTATGTGGGCCGAATGTTCTATGATAGTTTGTGGGTCGGAGATTTCCCTAGGGTGAGCCTAGGATGAGATTAGTGACAGGAGTCGCCTGATTGTGAATTGGAGGTATAGATAGAATTGTTTGATGGAATATGTTGGTTAGTTTTCCGTTGTCCGAATGTTGCTTGCTTTGTGCTTTGTGGGACTTCTAGCAATGTGAGCTAGCTACTAACACTACTAGAAAAACAGCCTTTTACGACGCGCAATGCGTGTCGTAAAACGCTTAGACGACGCGCAAATACGTGTCAAGGAAGGCCCTATCATAACGAGAGACGACATGCTTTTGCACGTCGTCTATTTACAACGCGCATTTACGACACGCAGTTACGAAACGCATTTACGACGCTCATTTACGACACGCAATGCGTATCAAGGAAGGCCATGTCATAAAGGAAGACGACACGGATTTGCGTGTCATAACCTTACGACGCACGTTTAGGACACGCATTGCGTATCATTAAATCCTCTGTCATAAATGAAGATGACACGCATTTGCGTGTCATAAAATTCAACAACCATTTACGATATGCATATTCAACGTGCCTTTACGATACTCATTTACGCATAATACAAAAATATATAAACAAATATACACCAAAACAATCAATTTAATCCAATAACATCATGTCAAAAAAATTGTAATACATTGATATTAAGGGGATCTGATTGTACATTGTTATTAAGAGATTTTCCCTAACTATATGACCTAATACTACATTGCTATTAAGGGGCACCTTCTTTTTTCAGGTATCATGTCCACATCATAAGCTTTATAGCTCTTTTCTTTTTTAACAATAGGCGCCACAACAGTTAATGTATCTCTATCTCCTCCTTCCTTTGTAGCTTGGTCAAGAGCATCATGTCCACCCTACTGAGTAATGAAACAAAAATAATGTAAGAGGGAAACATGTAGTCTAAATGATTCAAATAAGAACAAACCGTGTTTCAACAAATTGTATATGATAAACACAAATGGGCCTCTACTTAACAAACTGTAGTGATGAAAGCATGAAAATAACAAAAAAAAAAAATACAAAATGCATAACAATGAACATGTTTTAGATAACATATGAGTTGCAAAACAGATAATAGACAAATAGAAAGGCGAAAATCAGAGGAAGTGAAAGAAGAAAACATATAGGCATCATAATAAGACCACATAACTTGTTACTTGCAAGAGACATACAGAGCAGCATATCTTTGATTCCAGGTTGACCAAAATAAATGAACATCTTGAGAAATACACTTTGATTCATGAATTGGGATAAAAAGTGGTTGCATATTTTATTTAATAATACACTTTGATTCATGAATTGGGATAAAAGTGACACATTACCTCTGTTTCCAACAATTAATACTTAGGCTCCAAGTATATTATCCTTTGTTTCCAGTTTTTTGTTCTCCATTCATACCTCTTCATCTTTCTTTCCCGCTCTTCTGTTTATAAGTAAAAGAAGGTAATTCAAACAAACTGTATATTGTAGTTTTTTTTTAAAGAAAAAGTTTAGTACATGAAAATTAATAAGCTTACCCACTGCCCACCAGTCAATAGCACTGGAGTGGCCAACTCCTGTTATGATTTCCTGAAATATCATCATAATTTCAAAGGGTAAAATAAATTCCATAAATAAGCTAAATTACGTAAATTCCCTTGAGTACTTTTCATACCGGAGCAATGTATTCTTCTGTGCCAACGAATGAATTAGATTGTGTAGAAGGTTCTGCAACAAATGTAGGTGGTGGTTGGCTTCTAGATCTTCTCCTTTTAAGCTGAGGATGTTTTATAACCTGCAAAATTAAAATTAACATAAGTCAAAAAAAAAAATAATAATAATAATAATAATAATAATCTTGTAAGAATATAAGTTAAATTTTTTAGATAGAAGAGGACATATTACATACTTGGGGTTTACATTGTGTTTTGAATGATAAATCAAAGTCACTCAATACAACATGTCCATCTGTTTGAAGTAATATATTCTCTGGTTTCAAGTCCCTATAGATGACACCTGAAGAAAAAAAACGGAAATTGAAATGAAAGGTGTAGGGGTAAAATGGGAATATAACAAATTAACAATGCATATAGCAATTGAATGAGATTGGATGAAGAGATACCTAAACAATGGAGATACTCTAACCCAATTACAACCTCAGCTGCATAGAATCTACAGATACAAATAAAAAATGAGGGGTAGGGATAAAACGGGAATAAACATGCATACAACAACATTAAAGCAGAGATGAAATGTATAAGAGGGCAGGTTTTTTCATCGTTTATTAAAAATAAACATTTAGGATAATAGTATTTTTGAATCTTTAGCATGTATTTCCTATTAAACAGTACTACGGAAATGAAGGGTAGAAAGGTCTTTTAAAATGTGAATAGGAAGTACCTTGCAGACTCTTCTTTGAATAATTTCAAAGGTTGTTTGTCAAGCAGAGCAAATAATTCCCCTCCAGGGCAAAAGTATGTTATCAAACAGACATGTGTTGCAGTCTGAAAGATGTAACATGTTAGTATATAGTTATAGATTATGATAATTAAACCTAATTACAAAATTGAAATAATTACTACCAATTATTTAAAACATTAAATTGAAACCTCAAAAGATGTGTATAGTGTTGGAAGGAAAGGGTGATCCAGTAGCCCGATTATTTCCTTTTCAATGCAAGCTCGATGAACCTACAATTTTTTACATAAAAAAATCAAGTTTCAAAAACTATACAAATTTTAAATCAAAATAAAAAAATAGAATATTGTTTTTACAAACATTAAACATACCTTGTTTCTGTTCATCATTACTGCTTTATCCATTGCTTTCATGGCAAAAAGTTCACCAGTATCTTTTAGTTCAACCAAATGAACACTACAACAAAGCAATTCGATTATTCATAGTGAGAACCTTTAGAAAATAGAATTAGAAACACTAACTCTATAAAATTGTAAACAAATTGATTATAATGGAAATTGGAAAAGTTAATGAACACATTAAGACAATATACCTTCCAAGAATGATGTTTGGAAGATAGTAGTGAGAATCATTACTTATATTTGAACACATACAAGTGCAGCCTGATTCTTTAAATCCTCCAAGTTAAAGTTCCACACGCTAATTCCTTATATATACTCTTGCTGCATAATGCAAGAAATCAGAACAATTAATTGTAAACAAGATTAGATACTCCGCAAACATAGCATTTTCACATGTGATAAATGTTCCTTATCTCCATATAAATCCTTGTTCTGTAAAATAAGATCGGCTTCTTTGGCCTAATAAAAGAAAAAAAATAATAATTAGAAAGTATAAACATGACTCATGAATTATAAAATTCAAAGTTTGACATTACCTTTAGCATCCTAAAACGATCACCTAAGGGAGAACATGTGACAGATTTAAGTGATATCAACAACTTCTCAAAGGGCTTTATAAGATGAGTATCAAAATGAAATCGAATAGGGCGATTCTTTGACAAAATTGATATTTGAAAACGAGTGACAAAAAAGAGATGTGTAATACCTTGAATTCAGTAGAAGTCTTGGAGGATTCTTAGATGGATCACTTACATGATACTTCATGACCTAGCTCGTTTGGTTGTGTAATCAAACCAAGCATCGAGCTTGATTGCAGTTGATGGATAGGCAATACAAAGGAGGGGGGAGAGAAAGATGAATAAAATACATCGCTTCTAATTTCGTCTCCTGTCTCGATCTAAGATACGGACCTCAAACCTGGGAAAAATGAAAAACCGAAGAAATCGCCTGAAAACAAAATCAAATCCACATGGTAGAGGGGAAGAAGGACCAGAAGAGGCGGTGAAGGTTGGAGGTGGATGAGGGGGCGGAGACCCCTTGTCGATTTCGTGAAGACTGGTGAACGATGGAAAGCGAGTTTAGGGTAGAGGAGATCATGAGGCGCGTTTTCTAAGAGGGAAGAAGACATCTGATTGATTAAAGGGAGAATAAAGGTATGGGTTTTGGAGGCTGTGGTTGTTGATCGATAATTAAGAAAGGGAAGAATGAGATGCAGGAAGAGTTTGAACATACCATTTTTACGATCTCTTGTAAGCATGACAAGTTGTTGTGAGCTCTAAGAATTATGTGAGGTCTGGTTCAAAGCCCCAGTATCTTTATTGATTATGTGAAGATGGACAATATGCGAAGATAAAAGATGAAGACGGACCATATCTGAAGAATTTTGGTCAAAGTTATGGTTAGATCTGATTCAAAGAGTATCTATAGATATCAAAGCGGCCATGGAATTTGCAGAGCTTCATTAATTAGGTCAAGGAAAAGAGAAGGGGTTTTCGGCTGTTAGAAGATGAGAATAAGGCGGGGTTTTAATTTTTTGGGATTTGATTCCCCCCTTAGCTATTAAAGATGGAGAACGCGCATTTCATGAAAATTTTATAAAGCGACATGCATAGACGACACGCCTTTTATGCTGAGTGCCCTCCGTGTTTTTATTTTTTTTGTTCCGACACTAATTTTAAGGGCACACAAAAATGCGTGTCCTAAATCCTTCAAATTTTAGAAGAGATGACATTATTTTTAGGGCACACGCTTTTGCGTATCATAAATCACTACGTGTCATGGTTCGCGCGTCATTAAAGGCCTATAATCTAGTAGTGTAAGTGAATACGCTAGGTCACATGTGATGCAGGCGGGATAATCTCAGAGTGATGGATTTGGCCCTATTGCGTAGCTCTTGCTTGAGTCTAACCGTTCTAGGATTGAGTCTGTTACTTGAAGGATTATCTGATCTATGTCGCATGTGGCTATATTCATAAGGTAGCTAGTTGACATTATTGGGAATCTTTCAGTAGCTAAGGACATGGTAGGTTGGGATCCTAGGAGAGCCTAGGATATGCTCCCGTGAGTTAGTGGGGCGATTCAGTGAGGTTGGGAACCTAGGGGGAGCCTAGGAGGTGCTTCGGTGGATATTGTGTTGCTGTTTAGCAGACATTTAGTACATCATGGGTGTAGGTGACTTAGAAGATTCGGGATGATTCCGGAGGAAAGTATGGATAGGTGTGGAAGGTAGTATTGGGCCCGTACTACTGAAAGCACATGATCCATACTCGAATCGGAGAAAGTCTTGGAGAAACTAATAAGCCTGGGAAGGCGAATTCTTGATTATGTTTGGACCGTGGGGATAGCTGTTGTGCAGAATGAGGATGAGAACGTATGGGAAAGACCATGGTTGGTCCCGGCTCTGGTGGTGAGCCAGTTATTGGAAAAAATGTCAGAATTTTGAGGCCGCTTTGGATCTTTTGTATCAGGCGACAAGGATTGATGGTGCAATCTATTACACTTTCTGGATTAGAGACTATGTCTTGGGAGTAGATTGTAGCCCGGTTAGGGCAGAGGTTGATTCAGCTACTGCAGTTCGGTTGTGATCGATTGAGTTGGTGAATGTATCAGGGTGCGAGACCCTGAATGATATGATTTCTAGAGCTTGAGAGAGGGGGATTGATTTGGAGCACATTTGGAAGAGAGGACCAGATTAGGTGCATATATTGGAGGGTCCCAGGAAGAGACCCAAGATTTCGGATCAGTTTTTGAGAGGCCAGCAGGGCCGGATACAGTGCAGCACGAGCGGAAAACCGTATGGTGGAGTTATTGCTCCACGACTATGGGTCGCTACAAGCATAGCATGATTTATCGTGTCAGCAGGTGACATTATGAGTGGATGCTCGGTTTAGGGTGTGTCCGATCCGATGGATCGGCGGTGAGGTTTAGGACCGTTGTGATGAGGCAAGAGTGTTGTGAGACCGCGGGGTAGCCCGTAGCATTTACTGATCCATAGCCAGCGGTAATATGATGATAAATTTGTATTTGCCGTCGGAAAGGTGAAAGGGCGCCTTAGGGGGGTGATTAGATCATCCGATTGGTTAAGAATACAAGAGTATTATTTAGGATTTCCAAAGCTAAGTGATCATTGTGTTGGGTTAACTATGGGGCGCTTGTATTATCGGCACAGGATTTGGGTGGGTCATGCATATTGATGAAAATGGATCGGAGATCCATAAGGCATAAGAGGTAAAAGAGCATCGTCGACTCCAAGTGGGGGAGAAACAAGTGGCTGTTTAGGCTTAGGTTGTGTTGGTGGGAGTTCAGGAAACTCCCAATTGTCGGTTGGCATCGCCTTGACTATGCATAGTGAGCAGCAGGAATCCATAGGTGCAACCCGAACTCCTGATGGGGTATAGGATTCGACTTGGGAGGTGCGGCGATGTGATAGTGGAGTGTGGAAAGGCCCTGGGTGGTAAGCATGATTGGAGGAAATTAGTGTTAGGCTGCGATAGGATCGTGGTATTCGTCGGTTCGATGTAGACTATTTATGAGGCGGTCACAAGCATGGAAGGGGGATCAGCTCGTGCTTTGGGCACACCGGCCAGGGTCATCAGGGAATTATTCTCTATTTTTGGATTGAGGATCTTCGGTGTCCATGGGCGAGCTTGGGTGATTATGGGAACTCAGGTTGGAACTGATAGAGACTGTTAAGTCAAGGATTGGATCTTAAGTTGCAGGACATGCGGGTAACCAGTGTGTGATGCCAATGGTTCAGGCTGGGTAGCCTGGTGGTTGATTCTTGGGAACTTGATGGTTGGACCAGGTGCGAGATTAGAAGTATCGAAGACAGAATGGGTATACCAACCCATCGGTTAGCTAAAGGGGTTGGTAATCAGGAGGATTTGGTGTGAGATTCAGGTGCAGATTAGTTGATGTTGGGACATGAGTGAGTATCGAATCGGTTTTGGGTAAGATCCCGAATCGGAGTCCGTGTGTGTCCAGTGCAAGATTTTCGTTTCAGAGGGATAAGGATGGAGATATTTTTATGCCAAGGGCATCAATCGCAAGGTTCAAGAATAAGGTATGGGTTTAGTATGATTTCGGATGAGCCATTATGGTGTGCCTTCGGATGGTTTTCTTTGTAAATATAGCCACAATATGTTCGGGATCAGGAAAAGATGGGTTGTTGGTGATCGTATATGATAGGAGGTTGCAGTGAGTCATGGAACATTCATTCTTCTAGCAGAAGTTTTGGTAGCAAGGTGTTACTGAGCAAGACTTGCCAGTCAGAATTCATTTCGGAAGGAACGTGAGGCTACTATGTGTATGTATCTTGGCTCAGTAATCGGGAAGGTGTCTGGTGTTCTGGGCAGTTGGCAGAAATGTTGAGTCCAGGGAGGTCCCGGTTGGTTTTAAGGAAAGCAGCTATGTGGCAGCAAAATGAGTTGGAGTGGTTTCAGTAATTTGGGATCCGTGTGAGGAGTTGTTGGTCATTCGAGCTCTTGTCTGAGTCTAACCGTTGCAAGGGTGAAACTTCTACTCGAAGGATTATTTGAGCCTCCTGTCAAGTTGAGCGTCCTGCAGCCATATTTGATCAGTGGTTTTGTTCTTTTGGAAGCCTCGGAGTATTATAGGTAGAAAGTATTTTGGTTAGGCTGGTTTTCTTATGGAATAAGTTCGATGATGGTTCAGTGTGGGCAGTTGTCGGAAAGCTAGGACAATTTGAAGTTTCGAGTTTCGGAAGGATAGAGGTGGTTTTATGCAAGAGGGTTTAAGGTTCTTTCTTTCAGGTGAGTAAGTTCTTTTAGAGTTGGTATCAAGTTGCTGTGGGAAGGATGTATTATTCCGGATTGTGGAGGTATGGATCAGATTGTTGGATGTGCTTGAAAGTAAGAACGGATTTCGAGGACGAAATCTAATTCAAGTGGGGGAGAGTTGTAACATCCTGTTCTGAATCGATTCCTAGTCTGAGGTCATGGCCCGAAGATCGGTCATCATAAGGAATTGGGCTTTTGAAAAGGTAAAATCTAGGCCCATTTGGGTGTGGGTGATGTATTAGAAGTGATCCGGGTGTTCGGTTTGTGTTCTGGAGGCTAGGGGTATTTCCGTAAAGTGCCAGTTCGGGCTTTTGTGGAAAATGGATCTTTGTTCGGAAGATTTTGATAAAGGTGTGACTTGATAGAAGTGTAGGACTTCTCATTACCTTTCCGTGGATATAAGGATCGTCGGAATCGGGTTTATAACGAAGAAGTTATGGCCTTCGAAAGTTTCATGGTTTTCAGGCTTAGCCGAGTACGCGGGGCATACACAAAGAGTACGTTGCGCGTACTAGTGAAGAAGGCAGTACGCGGGGCGTACCTTGGTGTACGTTGGACGTACTGACCAGGGTGGTCGTGAAGGTTCTTCGGAGTACGCTGGGCGTACCATATGTACGCTGGGCGTATTCCAGTCAGATCAGAACCCTATTTTAGGGTCTTGGACCCTATTTAAGCTCTTTATCTCATAACCTCACCCTAATACCTTTGGCCTCCACCCCTCTAAACCCTAGAAATCGTCATATATCATCCATGGTGGCATTTTTAAGCTTATGGAGTCCATTTTTGGGATGTTTGGCCTATATTCAAGAAAATGGAGCTTGTTGCACAGATGGGAATCAAGGAGGAGCTTATGGATCTGGCTTTTGGGACTTATTCTCAGCTTGATAAAGGTAAAAAGCTATGAACTTGATCATTCATCTCTTAGATCTACCATTTATGGGTTTTGGTTCCTTTTTGGTCCCAAGGATGAAGCTTTATGGTTCAAATCTGATTCTTAGGCCTAGGGTTGCCACCCTTGATGCTATTTGAGTCCCTAAGACATAACGTTTCCATCTTGAAGGTCTTAATGGGTTCATTCATGAGTTAGGGTCACTTTTATGGAAATAGTATGCCATTTTTGGAGCTTGGGTTTGTTTGGGGCATGCAAAGTCACCAAGTCAGTGACTTTATGGGTTTAGACGTTAAGTCTAGCTCAGATATATGATTTGGACTTGTTGGATCAAGTATTAAGCACTTAATGGATTTTGTGCATGAGATGTTTGTACGCTGGGCGTACTATGAAGTACGTTGCGCATGCAGTCCATTTGCCTAGTACGCTAAGCGTATAGAA